GCGCCTCTGTTTATATCTCCAGGTACGGGATACGAAGAGTCTGTGCTTTAATTTCTCTTAAGTACCCACTAAGTAACCATTAAACACATGTCTTGTGATTAAACCGCCCATTATCCGTCCAACTTCCGCAAATCATTAACCGTTGTTATCTCATTAATTACGGTTTAAATTCAAATTTTTGGATCAATTAAATCATTTACTTCCCTCCTTTTCTGAGTTAAATCAAACCCGACCCGTCATTCTTCCAAATCGGGTCTGGGGGGCAAGTTGTTTGGGTCCAATTTAGTCAAAATTGGGCCTGGGCACTAAATGATCCAATTAAAAGCCCAAGGTCAAGGTTCAACTCTCCAATTGCTCAAAAGTCAAAAGTCAGCCCACAAAGTAAGCCAATTGGGCTAAAGCCCAACCTCTCCAAGTATGATGAGGTATAAAAGCCCTCATATTAACACATTCAAGGAGACATCACATACATTATCACATACATTATCACATACATTATCTCATACACTGATTATTCCAATTCATATGCTCATTCTTGCATTGAGAAATACTCCACAAAAGCCTCAAGCTAAAAACTCTCTTGCATAGTGTCTTCCTTTTTACACATTGTACTGACTTTAGCATCGGAGGGGCCTTCCTCGGAAACACCCCCGAGGCTAGTTTACGTGTGTTCACTGTGCAGGAAACCTTCGGCCCAACACAGCTTGGATCGAATCCAGTCTTCTCCATTTCAGTGGACCTTCGGCAAGGTCCCATTGTTTTCAACCGAAACACTTGTATTTTCTATTTTTATAGGAATGTGAATGTCAATATTACCCCTTTTGACATTCATTCTTAAAAATAGAACAAATATTTTGTAGGAGAGAAAAGTGTGCTTGATCTAGGAGATTTTGCAAACTATATATACAATATACATATGTCTAGATAAAGATAATTAAAATAATAATATATATTAAAACAATTTTCGAATAAAATTCATTAATAAATAATTAAAGAATAAGAATAGAATGAAAATAATGATGGTTAATATTAGGAATCACCGCATGAAAATAATTAAAGAATAAGAATAGAATGAAAATAATTAAAGAATAAGATGGTTAATATTAGGAATCACCGCATGCATGGCAATGCCGCAATTGGCAGCATCTATGCAATAATGTGGTATTTTTGGTCTTTTTTAGTATCTTCGTAAAATATATCAAAATGATTTTTTTAGGAACCTCAAAATGTTTCGATTAGCACAAATATTTGAGTATAATATGTGGGTACCATTGTACCAATATAAATTAGGTAAAAGTCCGGTCAAATCTAGTCTTTTGAATCACCTTAAATACCGCCCTATTACCCATATCGACCTTCAACATGGGCCGCATGGAGAGCTGCTTACAGCCTCGTGGACACCCAGTGCGGCACCACCCATGTGAAGATTGCTAAATAAACCGACACGTGGCACCGGCTTGGAGATTTCTATAATACCAAACATATTTCACTTCTAAGTTCAATATAAAGTTTAAGATGATGGTTGAAGCCCATGATCAGTTTATATACTCTATCACACCCCCTCAAATTGCATGAGACTCCATTGAGTTTAAAATGTGGATGTAGCATAGGATTAAAACCCATGACCTTTGCGTTACTCTGGCTCTTGATACCATATACTACCTCCGTTACAGGTTATGTGTAACGATTTGACATAAAGCAGAGAGGGAAAATGTCTAATCGTTACACATAACCTGTAACGGAGGTAGTATGTTAAACGATCAACTTAACCAAAAGCTTATTAAGCTGATGATTGAAACCCATGATCAGTTTATATACTCTATTCACAAGTTAACGGAGTTTACCCGGAACACCATGCATAATATATCATCATAGTATTTATATTATTCATCATATACAGACTCTGCTGTCTCTGCACACATAGAGAATAATGTTTGCATATTTGAGTTTATTCGACCGGTTAATATTCCACGGAATCAAATGCCCTCTGCTAAGGTAATGCGGATGAATTAACAGGATCTAAGGATCTTCGATCTAACCTTATATCGTTATTAAAACACATTCTTACATGTACCAACATAAGCGTTTGTAGTCCAACGGTTAGGATAATTGCCTTCCAAGCAATAGACCCGGGTTCGACTCCCGGCAAACGCATTTTTTTTTCTGTCGATGCTATATAACAGCAGCCCATGAAATCAGAAGCCCTTGAGTTGGGACGAAAACAAACTTTACCTTAATAGGTTGATTTTATAACAAAGGGAAGGCAAACTCTCTACAACACCATTCAATTTTGTGATTACTATGTTTTTTTTTTTTTACATTTATGCTTGAAGCATTCACCTAGAAATCTAGCCAGGGTGTTGCATCCCTTATAACTTTCGTCGGTTCAATACAAACATACGCAATCTTACATGGCATTGTTATGTAGGCAAACCCCCCAAGTCGCTAATTGTTCAGGTACCAGGAATAATTATACCTTAGGTTAAGTCAGAAGTTAATTGTTCAAAACTTTTTTTCAACTCCTAGCAATCACTTAACTCCTAGCAACACATATAACTTTCAGAACATTAAACAATAGCTCGTAAGCTCATGCATGAGTTGTTGCCTGATAGGGCCTATATTTAGTGTTTATATTGTATAGCTAACGGGCCTAATTCATGAACCCTAATTACTTGTATATATACACTACTCTACACTCTAATGAGAATACGGAAAATTATTTCGTGACATGGTATCAGAGTTTTTACACTTTAAACTCTACAACTCTAAACCCTAACACTCTAAATCTCTATTTTTTTCTCTACTCTACTGCTAATCATGGGCGAAGAAGGGAAGATCGATCCTTCATCGCCTTTCTATCTAGGGGCAGGTGATCAACCTGGCAATTTGATCACTCATGTGATCTTGAAGGGGGATAATTACCTTGCCCAAATTGAAATCTAGACCCCAAAATTATATTCGCGATACTGGGCTTATATACATTAGAATTTATCTTTTGGCATGGGTGGCCAGTTGCCGAAGTTACAATTAGAAGCTAAGAGTAATTATTTTAACAATTTAACCACCACTCCCTGTATAACTCTCAGGCGAAAGACAAAGTTTAATTGATTCTTGTACATCCTTGGGCTAGTACATTTTGGTCTACCTAACTCATCTAAATAAATTTCTACTCATTTCGTCGTGTTTAATTTGATCACCTCTACCATCCAAATCCTTCCTTATTGACATTCAAATTAATATTGATGTCAAATATTACAGGAGTAGGCCAGTAATGTAACGTATCTTTCCTTAAGCATGTTCAATGTTAGTCGTGAATAATTTACATACACTTAGCAAATATGGAAATAGACAATAAAATATCTACTACTGGACGTACAATATAATCAATATTTAACAGAATATGAGCCTTCCAATTTTAATCGGAAGCTCCACCAAACATAGTGCTCTCTCGGATGGATAATATTTTTGTCTTGTACCATTCCTTTTAGATCCTTTATTATAAAGGCCCTAGATATCACTCAATTCTAATCGGAATAACAACTTTTTAAAAAAATTGTACTCCGTAATATTTAGACTCCCGTAATAAATTCGGGTCATTACATAAAATTAACAATAATGCATTGAGTTTATGAGTGATGTGTTATTAATTACATTTTGTTATTCATGAGAGTGAGGGATAGATCAAGTGATTAGAGCTTCCCTCCCGATTTCAGAAAATCTTGGGATCGATTCTCACCCCTGCCCTTGTGGCTCTCTCTAAACACCAAAAAAACATTTTGTTATTCATAATGTTAAATAACTATATTTTTAACTTTTATTTTACAAAAGATATCATAAAATATGACATAGCTTAATATAAGACACTAGTAGAGTTAAAATTTGAGTTTGCATATTAACTCTTATGGTTTTTTCGGATCTAATATATACAGATTAAACACTTTTAAAATGAAGGAGGCAGAATAAAAAATTGTCGTTCGTAAGATGTCTCTAGTGTGAATTGAATCTTGTAACGTAATTGTTTAATGGTGGACCAGCAAGAAAGGGATAGTGATAAACTGATAATAGCCGACTGATAGCAAGACTCCAAGAGACAAATGTTTGTCACCACTTGAGACATTATAATCGGGACCTACGGTTACCTATGAAGCTGATATTTGACTACGTAGCAAGTGAACAACAACAAAATTAATCACCCATTTCTTCCTCCTGACTTCTTGAGAGAAATGCAGTAAAGAATGCTCTTAAAGAGTATGCTACTATGTTTAATACCAGGTACTTTGTATTTTATTTCGTTTATAACGTTCTTTCGGCGTTTAATGTATTTAAAAATTTATAACAAAATCACATGTTATACTCGACCTTTAAGATTGCAATATTATTTTGCTTTTGGCATTAAGCAATTCCTATTAATTAAAATGTAGGGTACCAAACACAATCTTTATTATATGGTGCACACATTTGTTTCATTATTGCTTGAAGGAACCAAACAGGTCATCCAAGTACTTCATTTTGTTGTTTGCCTAGCCTTACCAAATGTGCTCAATAACAAAGTACTACAAAAACAAAAAAAAAAGAGTTGAAGACTTTGTGATGGAATTGTCTAAGCAAAACAGAAAAGGAATGCAGCTTTATGCGACGCGAATCGTATAAATATGTACTTCAAAGAGCATCATGGAAAGAATAGAGACCATTCAATCTTGTGCTCAAAGCGGAAAATTTAGAGGTGATCAGATATGATGGAATCAGACAGAAGTCCGAAGAAAGAACCTCAACTTAAATTCATCACAGCCACTAATACTGGAAAAACTTCCATGTGACTGCTGCCAGTAGAGCAACTTACCAAGATAGCAAGACAAATCATACAGATTCCAAGCATAATACCTACAGCAATTAGTCAAAAAACCTAGAATAGTAGACAGATTTCAAGCATAATACTATAGCAATTAATCAGAAAAACTAGAATAGTCCACAATTAATATATAAACTGATTGCTATAAGAATAATAGATAAAATGTAGGCAATTTTCATTCAACACTCGGAAAAAGTACATAAATTTAGACCATATTTATTCTGAAACTTGCAGACCAAATTGACAATCCTATTTACAGAGACACGGATGATTGAAAGTACCGAAATACTCTAAATCATTCTCCTGATTCTAAAAATTGCAACTCATGAAATTTTTCGAACCCATTGAGCCGTTGCAATCAGGAGTACAGGAGAGCTTTTCATCATCATCATAAAAAATAACTACATAAAAACACGGATTCTGAAATGCAGACTCTATAAGCAGACGGAAGACAGCCAAAAAAATAAAAACAGAACAGACCAGAAGATGAACGGTGTGATGACAACCAGATTTGCTCCACATGAGGCTCTAATTGCTTGAACACTGCCACTGTTTTGCTTCATTGCTTCGAACTACTAGCGAGTAATGACAACAAACTTCCACCATGGACCCTTCCTTCTGGAGTTGGAGGTGAGCGAGACTCTTTATCTACACACTGGAACTGTGCATGCATCAAGTCACAGGCAGGCCATCCTACTGCATTACGACCAGTTGGTTCCATTACCATGGTGTCACCATTCATTATTCTTGTAGATTCATCTATCATGTTCTCAAGGCCAGCAGAGTCTGGGTCCTGCAATAAAGGACCCAAAGTGATGCCTCCGTGCACCCGCTTGTCCTGAACCAATGCCCCATGCATTGCACATAGACCCGTTTTCCCCCTGGCAAAAGAACCACAAGGGCCATCAGCTTGGTTGCCAAAGTGAGATCCAATTTGTCCCCAAGCACATCTTTTCCCTCCTCCGTGTGCCTTGCAGAAATCAGTGCTACCTTGTGCACTTTTGCCACAGCCTTCAAATCTACACCTTTTCCCCCCACCATGACGAACACAAAAATCTGTCCTACCTCTTGCACTTTTGGTACAACCAGAAACAGCACACCTCTTGCCACCTCCATGAGCTACACAGAATGAAGTTCCTCCATGGACACTCTTTGGACATCCGGAGAAAGAACACCTCTTTCCTCCACCATGGCCCTTGCAAAAAGGTGTGCTTCCTTCGGCACCTTTTGTACACCCTTCAATAGTACATCGTTTACCCCCACCATGTGCTTTGCAGAACATCGTACTTCCTTGAGCTCCCTTGTTGCATTCAAGATACTGGCATCGACGACCGCCGCCATGTGAGATACAAAGTCCCGACAAGCCTTCGGCACTCCTTGTGCAGTTCTCTCTTTGACATCTCTTACCACCACCATGCCTTATACACAAACCAGACTTTCCTCGAGCAGCACGAGAGCAACCTTCTTGGCCACATCGACGCCCACCGCCATGCGCAATGCAGAAATCAGTGCGTCCTTCAGCACTCTTTGTGCAACCAAGAAACTCACATCTTCGTCCACCCCCATGAGCTTTGCAAAGGGCCGTTCTCCCTTCAGCTCCCTTGTTGCAGCCAGGCCTTTGGCACCTTCTCCCACCTCCATGAGCAATACAGAGACCAGAAGCACCTCTTGCCCCCTTTCCACATCCAATAAACTGACAAAGCTTTGAACTACTCCCACGTTGCGCCTGCTGTGGCTGCTGCACAATCCCGGAAGTACAGGTGACTGAACTTTTAGGCACACTTATAGTGCTTGCTGAGACATCTGGAGCTATAGAAACCAGGTCCACATTTCTTGGAATGGGCTTCAAAATAGAAATTCCTCCCACACCAGGAGAGTAAGGCACTGGTGAAGAGGAATTTTCTAATTCCCAGTGAGAAGAAGCAGATTCATTATCCACAAATTGTGTTGCCCCAACCGTGAATGGCACTGAACCATGCTGAGGGGCATCTACGCCACCAAAGATGCTAGTGATGTCTGATTCAAGAGGGCTAGTGGAGAGACTCAATTCCAAGTCGAGGTTAAGCTGCATACTCGCCCTCTTGAAATTTGAGACAGCTGGCATCTTTGGACTAGGAGATTTGTCACTGCCAAGGTGTAGAGTGAAGTCCAAATCAAGATCCATTGAGGACTCAACCTCAAATTCTTTGGCTGAAGAAATTGCAGTGCATGCAGTTCCCGAACTTCCTTTGCTGTCTGATGAACTTGATGAGCGGTGCAACCCCAGACACAATGCAGGATTGACAAACTGGCCCATGTTTCCATCCCTACAACCCCACTTTCTCTTCATTCCCTTTGACGAAGGGAAATGAGGAACATTGGATCTGACTGGTTGAAGCCTTAACACCGTATCTGCACAATGATCAGATCCAGAACCTTCTATATGTGATGAATCACCCAGATTCTTATATACATTTGATACATTATGAGAATAAAAGCCTGCTCCTGGATTCCTAGTGTCCATGAACCAACAAAATTTGCTATACTAATGCCCAACAGAAATCTCAGCCACAGATATCAGTCCTTCCTGACTTCCGGGTTAACCTATTATCTACAAACCTAAACTAGTGTTAAAAGTATTTAAAAACCCATACAACCCCCACTAACAAACCCTGAGGTATCACACCGGTCCATTGCTTCTATAAAAAATTATAAAACTAAACTCCTGGCAGCTTGACGGAAGGATCAGAATACAGGCCAACCCACAGGTATACAGTTTGCAGAACTGATAGAAAAGTAAATCATCCTGTACAGAACATGAAAGCACAACATTATAGCATGCAGTAGCTACACAAACCGGAAAATCGATAAGCCCATAAAAAGAAAATATTGTTGCTCCAGAACTTAACAATGTTACCCTTACAGATAGCAAAACTATATTTCAAACATGTTATGACTTAACTATTTGCCATCATTTCAACAAATCTACATTTTTCGGGTAAGTTTACAGATTTTCCAACAATTAAAATTAAAGTTCTGTTATCCAACTGATCATAGATTAATTTACAATTAAAGATTGGATAAAAGCAAATTCTAAATCTGAGAGGGCAAAGTGTCTTGTTTTGCAAAATGCAGTAACAATTCAAAGTTCCCTGTATCAAAGCTCATTATGCAAAGAAGAACAATGATAAATGGAACTAAAAAAACACAGGTACTAGTAATTGAACAAAGCATTTCGGGTATAGCTGCTCAAACAAATTGGATCAGAAATTATATTCAGAAAATCCCATTACAAATTGCGAGTAGCTTTAACCAAATGATTTGATTTATGCCACATTTAATAGGGATCAGTTTCCATTCACCATAAATCTCCATGGACTTGTGATGATCCATGAATAGTACCTAAGAGCTTTTTTTAATCATTTGATAATTTCCACTAATTTCAAAACCTTAATGAGCAAATTCTATCAAACTCATATACCCTGAGTGGCACCGCGGCACATGTTGGGCTGACTTTATCAAGTACCCTACTTTTTTTTATGGCCTTTTTAGTTAGTGAAGCAATTTGTGTGATTAATTGCATAAAAGTCAAGATTAACAAGAAGCACATCAAGCTAACACCTTGTTTGACCAAAATTTCCACAAAGCTCAAAAATCGAGGTAATTAGAGTAAACGGAGCAACACATAAGGCAAAAATGAGGATGACAGACACTTTACACATAATAAAATCAACATAAAACCATATATATTAGCAATAGCAATTAGAATTAAGGAATTGCACAAACCTTGAATTAGTCGACAAATTATATATCAAGCCAAATTAAATCAGCTGCAACAAATCAATTCAAAGCCTCCAGATCTGAAATGCGTTCAAGACAACACAATCAAATTTTATAATTATCATCCAAAAAATTAAAAAATTAAAAATATATACTTCGTTATTACCAATAACAGGTTGTTATATATCAAAAATTACAAGAAAAAAACACAGAGAAAAACGCAATTAAATGAATGAAATCCGTACAAAAATTTATATTTATTAAGCGGCAAAAAAATCAAGTTTTTTTTTTTTTACAAACAAATCGTATTCTATAAGCAGAATCTCGCAAATAAACTCAAACAGCTGAAAATTCAACAATTAACAATCACACAAATGGCAGAATTTATCTCGTAAATCCAACAAACCACAGAAATTCATGCGAAAACAAGAATAATCAGCTAAAATCCAATAACATTACAATTCAAAATTAACAATTAAAAATCTATCAAACAAAAACCTTCCAAAATTCACAAAAAATAAAAACACCAACAAAAATGAAGCAAAATAAACATAGAAAATCAAAATTTGACGATAAATTAAAGATTGAAAGATAGAAAATCACCAGTAAAATTGAGTAAGAATGATTGGTGGGAGGAGAGAGAAAACTAGGGTAAAAGTTGGCGCCGGCTAAAAAGAGGAGATGATGAGAGAGAGAGAAGAGTGGGAAGGGGCGGGGGCGAGAGGAAACCGTATAAATATTTTAAGGGAAGAAATTTTTTTTTATATTTTATATTTTTTTTCAGTGGACCAAAATAAATTCACTGAATCGTCAGATTTTATTTTTTAAAAAAATGAAAATTGAGAACAAAAAAAATGAGAGAAATTGTCAAAGTTAAATAGAGTAGTTACGCAACGTTACGCCGCATGTGTAAAATTAACTGCAGTAACTATGAGCAAGTAGTCAGGTTTTTTGACTTTTTTCTGAGGTTTGTTGGTACTTTTACTGCGGTTTTTAAGGTATTTTTTTAACCGATTTGGATTGGGGTTTTTTTATGGGTAAATCAGTGTATCTAGTAACAAAATTAGTACGGAGTACTCACAAATGAAGTAACAAAAAATGTCTACTATTATAAAGTTATCCCTATGGTTATATGTGTAGATAGACTGAGAAATTTTCGGGACTTCGTAGTCATGATGAGATGATGAATGATTTTTATTGGGTTAAGGCTTTTATTTAAAGAAAAATACTTGATCCGTATGTTTCATATTGCAATCAATTATGATGTAATCTCTTTTATGTTAAAGTATTGAAGATTATCTAAGTTGGTTTTTAAGTAATTTAGTTCCTAGTGTAGAACAAATGTAGTACTCTGTAAGTATCAAACTATTTCTTTTATAGGGTAAAAATAATAAAAATTAAGTAGGCTATGATAATTTTTTTTGCATATTAATTCAAAAAACCTAGGCTCGGGCTATGTTTAGATCAACCTATTTAAGTTTCAGTCAAAAAAAAAAAAGATTAACCTATTTAAGTTGATACTATGTATTGGCATATTTCTGAAATAATTAGATCAGTTTAAACTAAATGGAATTAGATTAGATCTTGTATTTCTATTTGCTTTTGTTTATCAGAAAATTTGAAATCTCATTATTTTCTTACAAATTAATGTAAAAATGTATGTCCTATAATTGTTATCCAATATCTTGTTTTGCTTGCTCCCCTAAAGATAGTAATAAATTTGCCAATTGTCGAGTATCATGTACTAATGTACTATAGTGAATGGAAAAGAGTTTAAGGTCATTGATGATGTTTTGAAGTTTTCACGAAATGTTTCAAGTGTCTTATATATACTACGTTGATTGTTGACCAGGCCACTAGTAATTAAATTGTATCTTTAATGTTGATATTTGAGATCTTGAAATGCCTTGATTTGTATACTCTTGAAAACCCTTGCAAAGTTGTTCTTGCTTGTGCTAGACTATAAGGAGTTCGTTCGTTGTATCAAAATTAAAGGTTCATGTTAAATTATGTTGTTGCATCAAACAATTATTTCTGTTATCTTTGGATTATTTTTACATGATCCGTCAAAATTTAGGTTAAGGGCTCATGTTAGGACACTGGGCCCATTTCATAAAGGATGAGAGGATGCATTTTTTTTTTCTTTTTTTTTTTTGGAAGGTAGCATAATATTGGTGGAAGGTTGAGAGAAAAATGAGGTATTTGCTAGTTGACTCGAATCCTTTACTCTTTATGTGATGATGAGGTTTTCTAGGAATTTAAATATAAAGAAAAAAAAGGACATTATTATCTCTTTATATATATACCACATGAAGGTACTTATAAATCCATTGTACTCGCTCTTGGAATGAAATTTTATAATTTTATAAATAAATAATTTGACCATGATATTTATAATAAGAATTATTGCACAGTTATTAGTTTCATAGATAGCGAAGACCTAATTTTTGAAGAAAGATGAAAAGTTACTTGAGATCATTATTACTTGTAAAAATTGGAGTTGTTAATTTGAAACCGTGTTTAATTTCAATAATGACCGTGTTTCTTAACATTTTATTTGCGTCTATATTTTTGAAAGATGTACTTTCTATTAATTGATTTTATTGATTTATTTATTGAGAAGGATTCTTTAACAAAAGTATGTCACAATCATACTAAATAAAATTGGAGTTTTTAGGAAATTATTCAATATAACAACTATCATAAGTCGCTCATTTAACTAATTTGTATAGTCACAGTCGAGAAATGCCATTATCAAGATACCCCCCTTTCTATCAATCTATATATCCTCATGTTCTTTTCAAGATTTCAAGTAAATAGAGCATAATATTATAGCTTTACATGGTCAATCATTCCAAAACCTAAGCTAGCTCCTTGGTAAATTGGTATCATAAAAAAAAAAAAAAAAAAAATTGTGATTCCCTCTAGGATAACCACCTCCAAATTCGGCCCAAAAGGCCAAAATCATATATTATGATGTGACCAAACTATCAAGGCATAACGCTAAGGTTTAGTCATACTCTTACATTACAAATTGCATAGTGATTCGTATTATGATTATGCTGATATTGTGCACGGGTGTCTCCCTACTATGGTCACATACTCAAACGGCACAATAAAGTTTGGTATTATATAGTCACAATATTGTTGCCACTCTTATATAGTTATATACCATAGAGGGACTACAAAAAAAAAAAGACCTAATTTTAACTTGATGTATTACAATAATAATAATAATAATAATAATAATAATAATAATAATAATAATAATAATATTCGCTACATGATTTGGTAAAAAAAATTAGGTTTTAGGTTTTAATTTTAATTTACTAAGCTATTTATTACAGTTATGCAATATAGCTAGCAAGGTATTAGCTAAGATATAAAGTTTATTAAATCCTTTTTCATGAGAATGGGGGATAGCTCAAGTGGTTAGAGCTTTCCTTCCGGTCTCAGACTTTGGGATCGATTTTCATCACTCGTCCTTGTGGTTCTCTAAACACAAAAAAAAAAAAAATTAAAACTTTTTTCATATTTGCATTATGCGCAACCTTGCTTGTGTTGGTTAATATAATTAATGATTTCAAATTCATAAAATTCTAAATTATACTCTATATTGATTTTAATTCAAAATAATAATAATAATAATAATAATTCTATTGTAAAAACAACAAGGTTCCACATGATTTTTTTTTTCAATTTTAAATTATTCATTGCAGTCAAAATTTTTTAAATTTTGTATGAAGTTATTTTCATAAAAGCGAAGTTAGGCCCTCGTTCACTTCAGCTTATTTTTGCTGAACTAAAATTATTTTTACTGAAATAAAATTATTAATTTTTTTTGAGAGAAAATAAATTTATATTTGTTAAACTTAAACTATTTTTACTGAACTTAAATTAATTTTACTGAACTGAAATTATTTTTACAGATTTTTCTATTATAATTCTTCTTTAAGAAAACTGAATTAACTGAACTAAATTTATTTTTACTGAATTGAAATTATTTTTACTGAACTGAAATTATTTTTACTTCATATTATTTTTTTAAGGTAAAATGAACATGACCTTAGTATTTCATTAATGAACAAGTTACAGTTGGGCCCTGTTCTTTTCACCTTAAAAAAATAATATTAAGTAAAAATAATTTCAGTTCGGTAAAAATAAGTTCAGTTCAGTAAAATTAATTTCAGTTCAGTAAAAATAATTTCAGTTCAGTAAAAATAAGTTCAGTTCAGTAAAATTTAGTTTTCTTAAAGAAGAATTATAATAGAAAATCAGTAAAAATAATTTTAGTTCAGTAAAAATAATTTCAGTTCAGTAAAATTAAGTTCAATTCAGTAAAAATAAGTTCAGTTCAATAAAAATAATTTCAGTTCAGCAAAATTAAGGTGAATCAAACAGGGCCTTATTCAAATGAACAAATGGAGTACAGAAAATAACATAAACTAAAATATTATACAATATCGTGAAATTTAGCATCAAATACCACAATATTCTTTCCCATTTGGTGAAAAGTTCTAGTATCAAATTATATAAATAGCATCAAATCTCCACCAACTTAATTAAGGAAGCTTCATTAAAATAATTATTAAAATGATTTATTGGTAATTTAATATACGCAAGTAGTTTAAGTCTAGTTTGTTAAAAAAAAAAAAAAAAAAAAAAAGGTTCGATTGAAGGTCAAGCATATATAGAAGTGGCGAATCGAACTCGACTTCTCAAACATAAAATTCATATTTATTTATTAATACTCGTATATATTTTATATGTATGTACTGATATTTTTTATTTAAAAAAAAAAAAAAAGAAAAAAGAGTTTGAAAGTTGGACACAGCTACTTGATCTAAGAAACGTCCAAGAAACGTAACGTGATACTTTTTCATTGTTCATCAGCAGCGGCGCCTCGTCACCGCTATTTGTGCTCCGTTTTCTTTTCCCTTTTTTTTTTCTTTATTATTTATTTATATACGTGGCCCAGCCGCCAGAAAATTACAATTTAGGTACTGTACTCTTATTCACTCTCGTGTTTCCATGGCTAAAGGTGAATGGTGTTCAATTGGGTTGTGTCTAGTACATGCTTAAGAAACGGTGATGTCCATAAAGCTAAGCTTCGTCCAGTGGTAAGTTTGTCACCTTACAACTAAAAGGTTGTGGAATTAAATCCCATTAGAGGTAATTTGAGGCGGGGAACTTGGGATTTCCTAATCCTTCCCCCCAACTCACAAATGTCTACCTCGCTAATCCAGGTCAGATTGGACCCGTGAGAGGTTCCAACCTGGTAGGACCCTTCTTTTTACTGTTTAAAAAAAAAGAAAAAGAAACGGTCGTCATTTTTGGGTTGTGTCAATTTTTCACAGCCGTAGTCATATGTTGAGTCCATAAACAAATCTTTACGCGTTGACATGCTGGCAATTGTGATCCAAAATTTGATGATTCGGCCCAAATGATCATATGAGTTGTGACTTGAAATCGACCAAAACTCAAAATCTACCCGACCCAGTTCATACCCGATCCGAAGTGTAATCAACCTGATCTTAACCAAGTTGAGCCGATCTAACTACACCCAAACTGAAATCTATTGACTCGAAACGAAGTGATTCGACTTCATTTTAACTCGAATTAATTTGCCTGAACATACCCAATACCGGAAGTGAACCGAATTAAAATCCTTATACTCAAACCAAAGTTACTTGAGTAAGCTATTACCTAAAATAACCAAACTAATTTAGACCCGAATTACTTGACGTGAGCAAAACCAAAATCTTGTAATAAGGA